GTTAGATCAAAGTACACTCTTTAGTTGATTACGTTACAGGAAACAGAGAAAATGGAAAACCCCCATAAATATTCCACTACAGATTCTGGAAAAGTAAATATACAAAATGATAATGATACGAAACAGAAGTAAGTCTTAAAGTGACATACAAATTTACATATTCTTACCATTTACACCCCCTCCAAGTTCTCTGTAGTTCAATAGCTGCATGTCAATTTTCTGTTAACGTGTCTGTAAAATCTGTTAGCTCCCAGTTCCCAACTAGTTCACCTAGTTGTGTGACCTTTACCTTTACTGAATTGCAAAACTCTTCATCACAACACTTTTCCAATGCTGGCAACAAACCGCTTAAAAATAACACACCCTCACACATCTATAAAGACTGAGTAAAACACTGTGCTTAACCTTTCTTACATTTTGCTTGAAATGACAGTTATTCATGTCAAAGATAAAGAAATGCAGATACTGCTGTCGATATGGGATGTGCTCACCTTGTTTTTGAAATAGACCTCTATAGGCATGAGAAAACCAGCATAGCCTGACTCTTCCACTTTATATGGGGGTTCTTTACAAACTGTGAAATAAAAAAAGAAAAAAAAAGTGAAGATGTATAGTTAACATCTACACAAATATTCATATCTGTACTGAAACAGACATATGACACTAGAATGTACTATTTACATGTACATACTACAATATGGTGAAGTGTACTATTTCTTTGCCACTAATGACACAATGGAATTGCAAAAATAACTTTTTTTTTCCGAACAGGTTTCCACAGCACTCCTATAATCTGGTAGCCCCGCCCCCAAACCACATCATTGGTTTAGCCAGAGGTTGACATATCAGACCACTCAAACAAATAGGGAGATATTTTGAAAGCACCCCAGAGACACAGTGTTTACACATTTTGGGAAGTCAACCTACAAACGGCTAACTTATAGTTGTCTTTGCACATTTAACTGGGATAAGTAACATCAAAAAATGACACACCTTCAAATACAACACCTGGCAAAAATGAATGAAATCACAACACTTAGAGGATGTTCGTCCAGCTTTTTTACTTTGTGGCAAATAAACAAATCACAGATATGACACAAAAAAATTGGTTTAATAGCTGAACGTTCATTCGTGAAACATACCTACAAGGAATTGAAGGGATAGTTCACCATTGTTTATATGCAAATAAAAGCCTAAATTAATTCTGTTCATCATATAAAATAATCATATCTCTTTACAAGATTTGAATTAAATGACTCAATTCATTTGGATTAATTTTACGATGCCTTTATAACCTTTTTTGATCTTTTAAGTTTTGGTTACCTGGACTTTCAATAGAGGGACAGAAACCACTCAGGTTGCATTAATAATATCTTAATTATTAAATAGTAAGTCCGGGTTTAGACTGACATGAGGTATAAATGATGAATAATGACAGAATTTGTGAGACATATTTGTCTGTCTTACAAAAATGAAACGGGTAAGATTTCTGTTACTAATAAACTGAATGCGTTTTAAAAACACAATAACTAGGTTTATATATTTATCATCAATAAATCCAATTTGTTTCAGTCTCATACATTTTAGCTCAATATTGCTTGTTCCATAGCTAGCCATATTTAACCACGTTAATACTTTTAACTGAATAAATTTAATTGTTTTCACAAAGAACAGATTTATGCTAATTCTAAGCAATTTCAGTAAATGCATTTTGAAAATATTATTATTTAAATAAAATAAAATAGATGCAAATGGTTAATAACAAGAGGAGAAATCCTACCCGTTTCATTGTATGTCTGACAAATATGCATTACATTAAGCTTATGATAAAACTCTGTACCTTGATAAAGGCTTGTTGCCGAAATGTTGATAATAAAAAGAAGGTTAAATAAGAGTGCATTTATATGTCTTCTTTAAGTTCTTTCTCTAACAAAGGTGTGCATTTGCTTCATTGCAAGACTTAAAAAACTCTGTAATCCAAATAGATAGAAATTTTATATGCAATTCATAAACATAAATCTTACATTTAGATCTGAATCACTGATCTATAATAGAGACAGATATATATAGTCATATGGTGGAACTACAAAGTATATTAGCTTGGGCAACAGCATGAGCTAAACAGGCAGATTAGACATGATACCTCAACAGAAGAAAATGGGCATACACACAAATGGTTTCTTTAATTCTGATTGAAAGGGACTTAAACCTACATGGCTGTGAGTACTCTATGAAGTCACAGTGTTACGAAGTTGACTCAAATTAAAACCTGCCTCTCTTGGGTTTTGGGAAGCTGTCGTGAAGGTGGAAGACAACTCTCTCCACAAAGTGCTGGATGTCAGACGCCTCTGGGCCCCGAACAAACACCATCCAGTCATGTGTGAAGCCCTCGGTAGTGACTTTCTTCCTTAACTGGGCTCTGTGTCCCAGCTCCAGTTTCACCTGCACAGTGCACTGAAACAAGAGGAAAGCAGAAGTCATCTGTCAGTCTTCTCTATTCTGAATATGAGTCCTACAACTGTAGTACTGTTGAAATGGGAAAGAAAAAAAAAGATTGCAATACTTCATCAGTGAGTGACACGTATAACTCGGAGTGAGACTAAAAGAAGCTCTTGACCAACTTCTCAACACCAGTGTTATATCGACAGCTTACATCTGTGAGAAATCAACCAGCTTTTGCTCTCTGACAGCTAGAGATGGAAATTCACAGTTCTCTGACATTCTACATGTGTATGATGCTTTACTGTTTACAACTTTTCTTGGTATGGATGGAGACAAAATGACTGAAAGGCTTGTATGCGTTAGCTCAGTGGTTAATAAATTCCTCGCCAATGTTGGCTGAGTTTGTATCCTATCTGTACTTAAAGCATTTTTACAGTGACTGCATAATACAAAACAACACAAGACGTGCATGTCAAAAATAACTAGATAAAAAGGTTTGTCAATTCATACTTTATGCTGGCTTGAGAAAGCCTGGCCAGTAGTTTTAAAACCTTGACATTTCAAAGTTTTAAAGCTATGCAGTCTATCAGACAGACAAACAGACAGAGAGAGAGAGATAGATAGACAGACGGACGGATGTACTATCTATTTATATAGGGACGTAATGATTACCGGTTTGACGATAAATCATGATAAAATTCCACACGGTTAATATTACCGTTTCATCTTTTAATTATCATTAAAACCGTGAGTCATTTTATTTGTTGTTTGTTGATTTATGTGTCTGTACTTTCTGACCATCTCCAGCACATTTTAACAATACCGTGATAATACTGTTAACGGTGATAATTTTGGTCACTATAATCGTGATAAGAAATGTTCATACCGTTACATCCCTTATGTATATGATAAAGTGAAAAAGTGTATTAGTTTTTAAAGTTTGAACACTGTAGGTAAATCACATCCCATAGTATATTAATATATGTAACATATATACTATATTTCAATTCTGTACTGACCAGACCTGAGGTATTTATTTCTATTAAAATTCGCTGTTTAATTAATGAATTGTGATTATTTATATCCATGTAGTTACTTAAACTTCAAAGACATTGCAGAATTTCATTTCACACTTTCATGTCATGACTTTATTTACAGATGCACACAGCAGATTGAATATTCTGCCACTCAATATTTAGAATCTAAGCTTTGCTTTTAATATACAAGCCAACATTACTCATCCGTCCAACCCTGAAATGGAAGAAATTTCTCCTGCTGGTGTCTCAACCTAGTGAGCACCCTACCTAGACAGCATGTTTAATCTTGGAAGCGTTCGAACGTTCGCGCGCTCCTAAAAATGTTCATAACACACTGATGTAATTCCGCGGGTTTCCTGCTTTTAGCCTCGTAAAAAAAAGACTAGCTGGCTAAGTTAGCATCCTGACCACCTTCACAGACACGTTGGCCTCGCGTCTTTCAATTTATATGCTTTAATGATTAAAAAACATGCATATTCCTCACTACTGGCTGTCTGGCAGAGTCAGTAAAGTCTTATTACCATGTTCTCCATTGTTGCCTATGTTCCGGTTGTTTCATCTATTTACAAAAGCGTTGAAGTAGATTGAATGTGCATCCTCGCTGCACACTCTGATGGGAGTGTGAAGGGAGAAACTGAACAGTTTGAACAAATGGCCGCGACACTGACAGTTTTTAAAATAAAAGCAGAATGGCTCTCATCTACCCGTGTCTCTCTTCCACATCTTTCATCTACTTTATTTATTTGCTAATACACTATGCAAATAATTAAAGTCACTCCACCCTTCACTGTATAGTTTACGGAAGTTTTTCAGTCACTTTCGTGCAGTTCTGAATGTATTTATTTCTATTTGATTACTACACTGAACAAAATTATAAACGCAACACTTTTGTCTTTGCCCCCATTTTTCATGAGCTGAACTCAAAGATCTAAGACTTTTTCTATGTACACAAAAGGCCTATTTCTCTCAAATATTGTTCACAAGGTGGATGGATTATCTCGGCAAAGGAGAAGTGCTCACTAACACAGATTTAGACAGATTTGTGAACAATATTTGAGAGAAATAGGCCTTTTGTGTACATAGAAAAAGTCTTAGATCTTTGAGTTCAGCTCATGAAAAATGGGGGCAAAAACAAAAGTGTTGCATTTATAATTTTGTTCAGTGTATATATACCATTGTATAGACCAGGGGTAAGCATGTTCGGTCCTAGAGAGCCGCAGTCCTGCAGAGTTCAGCTCCAACCCTGAAAAAAAAGCTCACCTGCCTATAGCCTGAAGACATTGATTAGCTTGTTCAGGTGTGTTTGATTAGGGCTGGAGCTGAACTCTGCAGGACTGTGGCTCTCTAGGACCGAACTTGCCTACCCCTGGTATAGACTATTAAATTATTTAAGAAACATGCCTCCACAGATAATCATGTAAGATTTCAAAGTAAAATTAGATTAACTCACTTCACAATTTAGAGTTTACCTGACAGGTTTTTATTTGCAAGTAGTAAACACTACAGAAACAACTGATCAAAAAAACAAAATTGTTCACTCTTGAATACTGTTCTCTAATGGAGATACTGCCTACTGTAAAAAGGTCAAATAAAAACGTAGGTGACATAATATTACAATATTACTGAGTTTATTTATATGCCATTCCAAATTACTTGGAAACCTAACAAGACATTTTTTTAGTCTAGATGACTCACAAATGCTTACTGAAGACAAGGCATGCAGCACTTCATGTGTTTGAATAGTGATATGGACAGATCCAGACCACAGATGCTTGAAGTCCACACTGTCTGTTAAATGAAAACATTGAGTTTCTCCCTCTGTATAAAATGCTACTACAAAAGTTCTTTGTCAATCAGCAGGTTTAGCATCTCATTTCATGTTAGAGCTGTGTATAAGTTGAGTTCTCAGACTGCAGTGAAGTCTTAGCCAGTAAAGATGCGGTGCCAATCTCTGTATCTGTAAAATACACAGAAGGTTCAGTCTGGTGAGATAACATCCCTATATTGTGTAATTACTTTCAAAAGGCTAAAGGCTGGAATACACGACACGACAAGACTTTTAAAATCTAAAGAGTTAAAAAAAAAAACTATGTATCATATACTTGCTGACTTTGTAAATGGTTACAGAGAAAAACTGGGCACCATACATTACACAACTTTTAAACCATACACTACATGACTTTTAAAATTTGAACATATTTTAAAGCATTTGCTGACTTTGGACACTGGACATTATACACTAAACAACTGAGGATTATATTATCAGACTCAAATCCTTCCAATAAGAAAAAACTCATGCAGAAACATTTGCCCCTAACCCTAGACACATGACAAATGAAAACCACATGTTCTAAAATTGGCTGAAAATACTTTTGATATCCATTGACTGGATAGATTCATAGTCTGAAACTAAAAACAGTCTTTGCCCATCATACACTATCCCCGGTTTTACAGACAAGGCTTAAGCCTAATCCCAGACTAAACTCTAAATCTGAGCTGTTTCAACTGAAAGAAACCTGCTCTGACTGATCTTAAAATATATCAGTGCCTTTATTTTGTCTCAAAATGCACACCAGTAATGTTTTTTTCTAAGGCACGTTTATAAAAATTACTTAAATGTCCTAATTGAACTATGAAAACTGTGAAAACTGCGAACTCTGACTAACCAAAATCTGCAGACTCATAGTTCACCCGAAAATGAAAATTCAACCAAACAGTTGACGGTAGCCACTGATTACCATAGTATTTTTTCCATACCGTAGAAGTGAAAAGATATTTTGAAAAATGTGGGTAACCAAACAGTTGACGGTAGCCATTGACTTGTACAGTATGGAAAAAATACTATGGTAGTCAGTGGCTACCGTCAACTCTTTGGTTACCCACATTCTTCAAAATATCTTTTGTGTTCGGCAGAACAAAGAAATTCATACAGGTTTGGAGCAACTTGAGGGTGAGTAAATGAGAGAATTGTCATTTTTGGGCTATGAAATAAAATAAAAAGTGCACTTCATTCATTAAAATGTTTAGAATTAAACGATGAAGTACAGAAGTCATACCATGATCACAGTTCACTTTGCCCCCTGGGTTCTTGTGCTGGCCCTCAATGTGAGCGGTCATCTCCCCCCGGTCTGGGGTGCAGTGGCCACATTGTAGGCAACTGTACCGACCTCTTGTGTGCTCCCACAGGATGCGGCAGTTGAAGGACTGACCTGACAGATTTAATTAATGGGCAAATCATTAAAATTAAACTAACTCAAAGACTATTATATTCATTGAGAATGTTTGTAGACAGACAGAAAAACCTTCACCAATAAAAGTATCAGACTGAGCTGGAAAAAGAACCCCAGTGATCACTGACATCGGCTCATATATACAAGAGCAATATATTATTTACACAATGAAAAGCATCAATGAACCCAGTTTAGACAGATGAACATGGGCACAAAGGTGTTTGAATTAGCAAGAGCTGTCAACTTCTCCACACATGGTCAATTATGATGATACAGCACCATCTCTTGCCAGAAATGATCACCTGATTTTTGCAAAATGCTAATGGGAAAGGGAAAAAGTGAAGTAAAGGAACACTGGCCCTGAAAGCACATTCTCTGATGTTTTATTACATGTTAGTGAAGCACCCGGACATATGCGTTTAGGATCGGATGGGAGTGGACTGAGTTGTACAGCTAGATGGCACACCCAGGGAAACACTGAGCCCAGTTAGAGCAGGGGAAGGGGAGGAGGATTAGCATCTAAAGCATCATTTGAAGGAAGATCTGATTGTTCCCTCAAGCAATGTGTGTGTGGATTCTCTGTGCCTCACCTGTACTTCATCTCTATTTAAACTCTGACTGCTCGGAGAGTTCCATCTGTGCAAAAGGGGCCCAGGCGGGTCTGGCAGGACAGTGCAACATGACAAAACACAGTTCACTCAAAGCGGCCATGGCTTAGGCATTTCCCCCCCAAGTGACTTACAAATTCCCTTTCATAAGGACTCACACCTGTTGATAAGCAGGTGAGATCAGCTGAGCAAACTGGAAAATACACAGGTGAACAGGGTCTAAAATGTAGGATGATTTAAGGAACACTAGGTCTCATTCAATAATAATTCTGTGGATTATTCATATTTATGTGCAAAAGAGAACTTCTCATGAAAAATGTCTGCCTAGTTCACAACGAGTGCATACGCAAATGAATTGTACTTGTGAACACAAGTACTTGAATACTTGTGTTCATTACCTTGTTGAATGAATTTGGATTATTCTAAATGAGCGAAATGCATGCCCAAGGTTAGTTATTTGAGAAAAATAAAGTTTGGAATAATTACGATTTTATAATGTTTTTGCAACATTATGCTCACCAAGGCTGCATTTAAAAAATAAATAAATCAAAAATACAGTAAAAACAGTAACATTTTAAAATATAATTACAATTTAAAATAACTTTTTTCTATTTGAATATATATTTTAAAACAACATTTATTCCTGTGGTGGCAAAGCTGAATTTTCAGCAGCCATTACTCCAGTCTTCAGTGTCACGTGATCCTTCAGAAATCATTCTAATTTGCTGATTTGGTGCTCAAGAAACATTTATTATTATTATCAATGTTGAAAACAGTTTTTGCTGCTTCATATTTTTGTAGAAATCATGATACACTACTGTTCAAAAGCTTGGGGTAAGTAGTTTTTGCATCATTTATTTTTTAATTTTTTTTAATATTAATTATTTAAAAAACATTAACATATGAAATTATTCAAAAGTGCCAGTAAATACATTCATGAGGTTACAAAAGATTAAAATGCAAAATAAATGCTGTTCTATTAAACTTTCTATTCATCAAAGAATCATGTAAAAAATTATTTTTTTACACAAAAACGGTTTTCAACATTGACAATAAATGTTTTTTGAGCACAAAATCAGCATATTAGAATGATTTCTGAAGGATCATGTGACTCTAAAGACTGGAGTAATGATGCTGAAAATTCAGATTTACCATCAATAGAAAACAGTAATGATATTTATGACAACTATTACTGTTTGTACTGTATTTTTGATCAAATAAAAGCAGTCTTGGTGGGCAAAAGAGACTTCTTTCATAAACATAAAAAAAATCCAAACTTCATTTTTCTTATCATTCGAAACTCTTGACCAGTTGTGTATCTGTTTATAGAATGTCATGCTAACGTGTTTTTGTTTCTTCTTTTTAGACATTTTTTCAATAAATTTAGAATTTAAAATGACATTTAGAAGTTTTAATATGAAAATTATTGATGAATCATGATCAGATTTCACGCACAAATTCATGCTTGCGCACAGTTAGTGAATGAAACCCACTGTGAGCAATGACACTTTCTTTAAGTCGGCTTTCCTCAATCACAGAAGAAAGATTTATGAGATTCATTCACCTTGGTTTTTCCTCCAGACTGCGTTTGATCCTGGTGATGATGGCAGGGGCGGTGAAGCGGGCAGACTGGGAGGACCAGACCTAGGAGACCTCTGCTGCTGCTGTAGGCCCAGATCTGCCTGGAAGGCTGGGTTAACAGGAGACAGAGTGGGTGGAAAGGAGCTGTAGGGAGATTCTGGTTGGCAAGGAAGATTTTGGGTTGAAGCAGGATTTAGAATGGCAAGGGGCACAGTTGCAGGCCCTGCAGGTGTGGGGTTAGCAAATGCATTGTTTTCTGGGGGCCGCTGGGTTACTGGCATGTTTGCCGGTGTTGGATTTGTGGGCAAAGAGGGCATAAACTCCATCTCCTCAGGTGCATTTGGGGCTAAGAGGGGTCTAGATGATTCCATGTCACCGGAAGTGGGAGTAACATTGGTGGGATCCACGTCAGGTGACGTTCCAGGCTCGACCTTTGCAGCCTTGTTCTTAGCAACTTTAGCACAGGTCTGCAGGTGTTTGAGAAGGGTGCGGTAAGAACGCAGTTTGGCCCTGCAGCTCTCACACCTAAAGGACATAAAAATTATGATAATGAAGAAGTATAAAGCTGAAACAAACATTAGAGCAGAACAGAAGTGCTAGAAAAGTAAAAAAAATAAAATAAAAGTACTTACCCTCAAAAAAAAAAAAAAAAAAAGTCGTAGTATTTACAAAAACTCGTATTACTGGATGTTTTAACTTCGTCATTGCTTTCCGAGAAGGAGAAAATGGAATTGACAGGTGATTTTTATAAAATTTTGATCACCATATTCTCAGCTGTTAAAAAGATTAAGGCAATTATAAATATATATAGTAAAAAGTAAGAGAAATATTTAGAGAGTTAGAAAGTAGAAAATGGTAACCTGGTTTCAGAGATTTTGAGCAGATTTATAAAGTGATTGGGACTAAGACAGCTCTTTACAGTCAGCATAAAATGAAAATTCTAAATCGTATTGATCTTATAGTGAATGATACATACTTTCATGTTGATACAAGTTTCTGATACACGTTTCATTTTCTTGTTTGTTTTTACCTCAATTTTATATAAAAAAAAAAAAATCATATGCTGTTGTGAAACAACAGACTTCTCTTTGGTGTATGCTGGACTTCTTCTTAAGACGTTCAATGAATATGGTTCCAAATAAGAGCACCTCTATGAGAAATTACGGACTGGCAAGAAGGAGTAAAGTTAAACAACATAATAAATGCAACCTCATTAAGAAAGAAACCGAAAAGCAAAGCTATAGGAACTCACAGGAAAAAATTATTTGGCTTGTGGTGGTGCCTCATATGTTCCACTAGCTGCTGCATGTTGTTGAATGAACCATCACATCCTATATGAGAGCACAGGAAAGTTTTCCCTAAATAATAAAGGACAGTGCATTAGACACCAGATTGCTAATGTGACACTGTTTATGATTGTAAATTACTTGATTAAATGTTTATAAACAGCATTTCATTCATCAAGTGCACTAGTACAAAAAAAAAAAGAAACACACACACAGGCATGTTGATGTTATACCTGGAAGAGACTGGGCAGTGTTCTTTTGATGGTCCTGAAGATGATTTTTCAGTGCTTCTGGACTATTGTAGGTCCTCTTGCACCCGTAAAAGGAGCAGGACATTTGACAGCCTGGTGGAACATTGCATACAAGTTCTGTTTATACTGGGCTTTAATATGCATGGACATTGAAACAGCAAATTAAAGCATAGCACTGATAATGACATACCCTCCATGGTGACTGCTTATAGCTGAGGTAGTGGGATGGTTCCTGCTTCAGCCAGACCTGCACTCTAGGATAACAATTGCCCTAATTTAGACTAGATAAATGTGATAAAATATGATATAGTTCAGTAATGCTCATGCACACTTTCAGTGAATGGCACGTAGTAAATTCTAATCTGGGTGCGCAAGAGGAAAAACACATTCGATTTAAAAGCAATTAGTAGAATAACATGCACTTGATCAATAAACAATAAGAACAATAAGCAATCCATTGAACATTAAACAATAAGTAATCAATTGATCCAAACTAACAGAACATCTCACCAACGTAAACAATCAATCAAGGACGCGCGCAGAGCCAGCAGACGCACGAGCTAGCCAAACAACAACAAAACATCACATTATCTGCGTAGAATACTTGTGTTCAAGAGCAATTATTTATAGTGCAGTTACTATGGCACTTACTTTGAATGGATTTCTCAAAGTTTTTAAAGCTTCTTTTTAAAAACAGAAATTAATTCAAATGAAAGCGGTTATCTAGCTACATTGTATTTCCACCCTGTCTACGTGCTTTACGTTCATCAATAAATATCGCGAGAACATACGTTCCCGTTTTTCAGTTCGTCTTTGATTGATGACAACTTTTAAGATGATTACATTATTCAAAATTGCACGCAGCTCACAGTTGCTGATTTGGAAATCTTTTGTTTTACAACAGATTTTATTTTTGTAACAGATTTAAATTTTTGATAATTTTGGCACATAAATGAGAAGTACAATTACAGTTGCTTTCCAAGTCCTGTACATCTATTGAGCTTTGATGTTGTTTAACCCTGTGATCAAAGTTAATTGTATTATTTTTTTTAAACTGAAATTTAACTCACAGCTATATTTCTAATTCAGGTCTGCCAACGTTTGTGTTTAACTTGGAGTGAGAATTAACACGGCGGCTACTTGGCTTGGGTGGGAGTTTTGGTTGGGATTGAGTTGATAAATAAATAAATAAACTGTTAGAAGAGTTTTGTCTGACGTTTGGACATGCGTAGTAGTTAATGTCATGATTACTGGTTCTGTTTTATCATAAAATGATGTAAAAAATGTTTTGATGCGAAAATTAAAATACTTTTCTATTAATCGTCTAGTTTGCATTTATATTGCTTATTGCATATCTGTTTTGATAAATTATATTTTTCTGCTATTCAATGCTACGGTTATCACTGTCGTAAATTTTCGCAATTTCGAAAGTGAATCCCACTTTTATGAGTGATGAGGGATTTATATGTCACTCCCAAAACTTTGCTGCGTGTACAGGGTATGTGGCCGTTGGTCCTCTTAGCAGCACGAAAACCAAAACTTTTATGCAAGTTCTGAATGGAATATATGTAGCATAGAATGAGACTGAGAATGCGTGAGTTGGCAGACCAGGCTATTATTAGCAGAGATTGATTCGAATGCTGTATACACAATATGGGTACTACTTTAACTAAAGTAAGTAATGCTTATCTTATGCATTTGGTCTGGAATTTTATAGGAAATACTAACAACAAATGAACAAAGTAACACTAAACTTCTGCATTTTTTATTGACCGAAATGAACAGTAGATGGCTGCAGTGAGCCACATATCCTCCCTGCTCACTACAGACCAGTGGTTCTAAACATGAAATTAAGTTATATTAAAATAATCCTACTACAACAAATACTAAAAAAAAGAAAAAGAAAACTCTGAACGATTAAGATTAGATACTTAGATATTTAATTGTTGACTTGAACACAGTTTGAAACCCCTAAAATAGCTGTTCCCAACAATATTTACAGTACATCAACCTATGCACATATTTATATGACAGTCAACAATAACACCTTTATTGTTACCGGAAAAACATTTCAAATAAATGAACTGTTACTCTGGCTGTAATTATGCAGGAAATATTAAACATGAATACATGCTTCTATGTTTTGGGTTGTGATATTGCACCTTTCAATATTTTCCTTTCCAATAGTTCCTGAAAAATAAACACTAGAATATTATGTGAAGTTTTGGCCATCAAATATCAGTCTTTACCAGACCAGGTTTGTAGCTTCACGTGAGGCAAAAATGATACATACACACACACACACACACACACACATATATATATATATATATTTCCTGAAGTATGTTCGTTTTAAAACTGTTCTAATGTTTCCACTGTCCAGTAGATAGGAAAATAAACAAGTCCGGTGTAACTAAAGCGCCTGTCCTGTTTTGATTCTGAATAGATGACGTTAGGAACGGGATGCCCCGCCCCTGTTATCGAAATGTCCAATAGTGTTCTTAGTTTTTAAGTCTGACTCTCATTGCAATTATTTTGATTGGATGTGGAATGTAGAGTGGGCGGAGTGCGAGATACGACCTTATATATGCGTTGTGCTAACGACCTTCGTTTACAATTGACAAACACAGAGTAGCTAGCAACCTATTAAACGGTGGGTTGGAGCAACGGCGTGAACGCTGGCGCCTCACGGCTAGTAACGGGGTAAGATGAATCCCTTTCCACTAAGTTACCTATTAAATGATTCCTGGAACTCTTTTTAAGGGAAAAAAAACCCCGGTCTTTCTGACTGAAACCGCATGCAGTCCAGAGATGGTTTATTACTCGGTCATCTTGATTAAAAATAGCTATTGACCGTTTGTAAACTAAGATTAAACAGATTTTTAACTGCTTGCATAAGATTTCTCAGTTGATACATTTCTCTTTTTTTAATAGCAAGTTAATTCATTTGTTTGTTTTATGATAAATTTCCTGACTTTGTTGACTACTACAATGTGAAAAATACCAAGTCTGTAAGTTACATGAGCTTTCCTCTTCTCTTAGTCTCTGAGACTTTAGATGATCTTGCTGGAAGAGCATCTGTTCAGGGTCATACTGATGATATTTCTGTCTCTGTGTAAGCAGGAGTCATCTGTTGCACGACCACCTTGAGGTGATCAGATCAGAGGTGATCAGTATTTGATTGAAAGGAGCCACTGAACTGTGATTAAGGCACCAAGCTGCACATCATTATCTGACCATTTGAAAACATGGTGCAAAACAAAATCACGGAGGTCACCGGATTCCATCGCTCCTTCAAGGTTGGTAACTACTTCTGATTTACCAGAAAGTGTTTTATGCCCCGAGTGAGTGTGAAATGGTAGACTTTAATTTGTGACACTTGTTTCCTATTCCCAGGGGCTAAATCCTTTCAAGACTGATGAATTCATAGATTCGGAACCCCATCTTGACTTGTCCTTCAATTTAGACCGCTCTCCAAGGCCTGGTACTGCTATTTTGCCTACTTTTTCATTAATATTGACTGTTATTATCAGTCTTTGAGGTTGAAGTAAACCCTGATGAAATACTTATTGAGGAGATATTGCTTATCTCTCAAGCTTTGTTACGCAAAGTTCATAGCAGATTAGAGTGATGGACTTGGCTCACATTGTGCACTTTAACGCTGTTGTTTTTTTTTGTTTGTTTTTTTTTTAAGACATGGCTTCTAGCCGGCCCATCGATATCCCTGATGCCAAGAAGAGAAATAAGAAGAAAAAAAGATGCAGAGCCACTGACAGTTTCTCCGGACGTTTTGAAGGCAAGCCCTTTTTGTTTGTCTTTTGTAAATGCTCAAGCCTGGAGTATAGCTTCACTGTCTAAGGAGGGTAAATATTCTTTTTTTTTTTTTGGTCATTTGTAGATGTTTACAAACTACAAAATGAGATTCTTGGAGAAGGGGCTTATGCGGTTGTTCACACCTGCATCAATCTGATCACCAATAAAGAATATGCAGTAAAGGCAAGTATCAGCACCCTGTTTTAGTTAAAGCAGCATATTGCTAAATAAACTGTTGTCAGTGCTCAATACAGCTATCAAATAATCAGTGTCTTATCTATGTTGAGGTTAAACTCCAGTTGCAATAGCAAAATACCATTTTAGGCCGTACCCTCCTTGCATGATTATTGCTCTGATTTTTCACAGAATCTCAGACCGTAGACAAATTGGAGCTTGCTGTAATTGGGTGTTAATTATAAGCAGTTAGCAATGTGATTTGAGCTGATCTTGTGACGTCTTTCATGACACTGTTTTCAAGCAAGTTTTATATTATCACAGCATAGTTTTGTAGAATGAGTGATGCATATAGTGTGCTTCAACCAATGACAAAATAAAAGGCTTAAAGTTTATTGTAAGCCATATTCTTAAAAAAAAAAAAAAAAAAAAAGTTGCTTCATTGTAATCTTATTACAAAAAAAATGAGTAAAAAAGTATTATAATAAAGTATTATAATATTCTTATTATCTCTTGAGTTGCCCCTTAATGGAAAAATATAGTAGCTATTTCTGCTGCAACAGTATATGTGACTGATTAATAGAAATAATATCATGCAATCTGAACAGTGGAGGGGGAACAGACTTTAAAGAGTGGATTCTACCACAAATCTCTAAATCTAACTTTTTCAGCTGGACATTGTTAGTATGTTCTCTTAAATTATGTTAGAGCATCAGTGATGTTTATTAGTGAACACTCCAAGTGTTTGACACTAGGAATATGAATTGAGGGAAGCAAACTTTGGCTTTTAGTTATTTGTCCTGCCTTCAGTGTAGAGTGTTACATAAGAATAAAAGGGGGTTTATGCTGGGACAGATCTGGGATAGCTCTGTATCAGGGTTTCAGCCCTCATCAGGAAATACCGGACACTAGCTTTGATTCATGGTCGTTTGAGCTGTGTTCTTATAAGCTGTTTTATTTGTTATGTGGTGTTGTGTTACATGTTCTTCTCTCTGGAACAATGGCCTTCCAGCTACTGTGCTGCTGCTGCTGCTGCAGCTGTGGAACAAAAATATAAATGACCACAGTGCCTGCTCAGCAGAGAAACTTCCTCTTTTCAATTGTTGACATTGTGAAGCAGGACATGTAATCTTTGAAAAAGCAGTGTGGTGTCTCTTGCTACATCTATTTAACCTCTAGAAGATGGAATGGTAATATATAAAGGAAGCCATGGGTGTTAAATGAAGCGTGTGCAGGATGTTCATGTGGCATTTCATAGCAAATGTTCTGTAACTTGCCAAAGGGAACGCAAAATTGAAAACAGCAGGTTCTCTACATGGCTGATGTCATGGAATATTGTCAGATTCCAAGAGTCTTATGAACCGGTGCTCTTCTGGAAGCTAGAGAAAGTTTAAGTTTATTGTTTAATTGTTTTGTAATTTGCATCCCATTTGCTGTGAAATGTGTACTTGGGGTAAAATGTTTGGCTAATGCTTAACCTTTTGGGATACTGTGGCATAAATGCTCATCTACACGTTAAAATGAATGGACACTGTACAAATTACATGGAATAATAGTCTAATGCCAAGGTAAATGGATTTTATTTGGACAGATGGCAGATAAACCAGCACATAGATTGAGTTAAGGGAGGCAACACATTTTGTTAGCCCGAGCCCTTTAGAAATGGACAACTGTTCAAAAGTTTGGGGACAGTAAGAATTTTTTTGTTTTGAAAAATTAGTACTTTTCAGCAAGGTTGCAATTAAATTGATTAAAAGTGAAGGTAAAGACATTTGTGTTGTTACAAAAGTTTTATATTAAACA